AACACGCTTAAAATCACTAGAGATTTTGATAAAAAAAAAAATACTAGAGATGGCCATGGCTTTATGAAGCAGCGGGATTTCCTAAATCTCTGCAGAATGTGGAGTCAAACAAGTTTAGGTGTGAGACAAAAAAACCCTTGAGACAAACACGAACATGGCATGGAGAAGGAGGAGGGCTATGATTAAATTTTCCCAATTTGATGAATTGAATATTTTCACATTTATGGGTTTAACTTTTTCGTTTGACATCCTATTGACTCGATTTTTACTCTTGTGGAAAAGCCCGATCTTTTCAATTCATCAAATTGGTCAAAATTTTGAAAAATTATATTCACGTGATTTTTTACACAAATTTGCTCAAACTGTGATCGGCCATAACATGTCCATTCCACGTCCAATCGAAGGCCAGGACTAAAGATGCCTATTTGGGTTCGTTTATATCTTTGGCTAGTTTTGTAAGTCTTTGTCAGAAAAAGCAAAGTCTTGATAAATGAATTTTTTTTTTGTGCATGAGTGTAAATAGAAAACCGAAGGCCAGGATTGAAGCTATTCATTTGGGTGGGTTCTATCTTAGGGCTTGCTTTATATATTTTGTTTAACCAACAGTTTGCGGTGGCATTGCTCTGATGACTTGTTCTCATAGGAAAAGAAACCACCAGAAAGTGAGAATTATAACGATATGGCCGGAGAGTAGACCTGTCAAATGGGTGGGTCGGATCAGGTTTGGATTGGGTTATTGCTAAAACACTTCCATATTTAATTAAATATAGGAAAATTCATACCCAAGCTAAAATGAGAGTGCGGAATAAGTGAGTGCAAGATTAAGTGAGGGCGAGAGAAATGCGTTGAGTTTAAATCAGTTCTAAACTCATTTATGACCCATTTAACATCAATATAAGACTTTTACCCATTTATGACCCATTTACTAAATATAACTAACCCATTTATGACCCATTTACTAATATATGGGTTAAGAAATTGGTTTATGATCCATTTTGACAGGTCTACCGGAGTGATACTTTAGTTGGGGGCAGATTGTTAGCTTGGTCAAGTAGATTTGGATAGCTTTACATATCATGTTGACTTTACGTTTCCCTTTTTTTTTTTTAGACTTTTATGTTTCTTTTTTTATAAGCTCAAATTGAGAGACAAATGAATAAGAGACAAATTGTAACCGGTTGATATATGAAGAAACAAATCAAAGTAATATTCAAACAATAAGAAACAAATCAAAGTGATAATATTTAAAAAAATTATCCGTATGAAATGATATTATTTTGTTTTGAAACAAAATACCTTATTATAAATTTATTTTTAATCCGTATGAAATGATATAGGCTTAGGTATCTCATGATCACGTGAATATTCTCAATGAAGCCTATTATATTAGGTAAAATTTTAAAAAAAATCTATCGAAAATCATTTTTTTTACTTTAGCTTTGACTCACATGATCCTAAGATTGATTTTGTAATGTTTTAGGTCCCAACACATCTTCTACGAGATTTGGATCAATGGGGTAAAAAAAAAATTTCTCTACTAATTCATTTTTCTTATTTTGATCTTTTCTTTACTTCATTTGTTTTATGCATAATTGATATCACTCGTCTTAATTTTAGGTCACCAGAGAGTCCTTCTAGAGTGAAAGGAATAAGAAGTCATTTTTTTGCACAATGATTTTGTTATTAGTTGCATAGCGAACGTTTCAAGTGTTTTTCATCTTTTTAATTTAATAGATCTATTTAATAACATTAACGATTTCTTTTTGGTAAATGATAATATTTTTCTACTTATAATTATTTATATTTCGGTATCTAATTTATTTTTTCCTTCTTCATATTCAAGAAAATTGATTATGATTTTTGTCTCTCAATTTGAACTTGCAATAAAGAAACATATAAATAAATAAAAAATAGAAACATAGAATCAAAAATGAAACCGGTTGAGGAAGTGTGTGGTTTCCTCAAAAAAGTCATGTGGCTGAAGTTCGATTGTCACTCCGTCATTCTACCGAGGATGGTCATGCTAGCCACGTCCTTTCAAAAAAAGACATTCTATTTTATTCTATTTTAAAGTCTATTTGGAGTGGCAAGAGAAATATGAAGTCCCTTTACTCTAAAGCGAAGAGTGATTTTCTCATTACACGACCTAGCCTGCGAAAATCAATCTTAGTAATCTGCTAAGTAAAGTTAAAATATAACCTTGAGATAATTCTTAAATCATAGTTTATTTGTTAATAGAAAATGATCAAAATTCTATGTAAATATAATTTTCACCAAACAGAAGTTTCTTTCAAATGGGCTTGGAAATACTATTTACTCAACTACTTCAAAACTCCTTCTTTAATCTTTCCAAATGTCAAAGCATTACCAAACTCACCTTATTCCCTAGCTTGGTGCACACTGGGCTAATAAATAATTTGCTTTGAATATGACGGATGCAGTTCATATTTTTGAGTTTCAACATTGATTTTGGGCCAATTTTCATCATATATTTTCTGGGTATAGGTTTTTTTTTTCCATGAAACTTCAATTTTAGTGAATTTTACTGTAGATTCTGTACGGAAGATCCTGTTTACTCAACAGGGAAGCTCCTATCATTAACTAAATCTAAAGAAGCTCCCTCATGCTGAGATTTACCTAGTCAACAGAGGTTGGTTGCTTCTTATTTATTGTTGTTTGGAGTTTGATTTCTTGTCTCCCTTGCGATGAGTTCATCGTGTTTCTCGAGTCATTTCATTGTCCAAAAGCATATATAGACCGAACCAACTTACAGATTGAATACTTGAAGTCAGGAGTATCCTGACACTAATTGCTTTTGGTATAAAGTCCTTGAGGTTGCTTTTTCCATTAAATGTAGATTACATTTCTTTATATTTTTATAACGGTTATGAGTTTATGGACGAGTGCTCTTGAAGTAATTGCTCTTGCTTTGAACCTATATGCCTTCGTATGTGCTGAATTTCTCCCCAGCTGTTCTGACATGTCAATGCCAGTTTCTAAGCTTGTACGGGATGCTGGCATTGAAATTGAAACCCGTGGTGACTTGAACACTCACGTAGAGAGAAAACTCGGTCAGCTGGTTCTAGAAAAGTACTAAGTTAATTAATCTATGATGTGCCTGAATTATTAAGGTTTCTGATTGTTATTGCAATTTGTTTTGCGTATGATTTACTTATAAAGCTTTCTTTTATTCTCAGGTATGGCACCGAGCTCTATATGCTTCACCGTTGTCCTTTGGCTGTTAGGCCATTCTACACCATGCCATGCTGGGATGGTCCTACAGTAATTCATTTGATGTTTTAGCCTTCCAGTTGGTTTGAAATCGTTTGAAACGCATGTTCAAATTGTTCCAAAAGAAACATAGGGAGTAAACTGGATGGAAGGGGAAGGCTTGAAATCTCAAGAGATGTATTGTTCCGTTGAGTTTTATATACCATGAATTCTTATATGGGGCAATATCTTCCACTTCTCCCGGATGGTTTAGAACTTCTTCAACATATTCTCAGGCTTCTCGTTTCTCTTTTGCATGGCTTCTATCATAAGACTGCAATCTCGAGGCCCTTTACCAACACCTAGTAAATCTCATGTATCTCCTCACATGATTGTGCTGTGGGTGCCCATTTGGGTCTCTTTTCACCAACAAACCTTGCATTCAACTCATGTTCAACTGCAAACTTCTGATTTGTACCACTGTCTCAGGCGAGGAGATCAATCAGGAGGTCAGCGTATCCATGTTCCTGAGCTTCTTACCAAGCGTGCAGAGGCATGTGGAATTGATGTGAAGACTATCGAAACATACATTGACGCTATTAGGTAATCCGGTTTGGTCATTGGTGTTCTTCTAAAAACAATCAGTGTCTTTTGCTATTATTGATTATATGGTTGCCAAATTCGGTGCTTGGTCATCGAGTTAGATCAACATGAACATGATTTTACCTCTCCGTTATGATGAGGCATTGTGATGGTGATTTTGTGCAGGTATGGTGCACCGCCTCCACACGGGGCTTCGGAACAGGATTGGAGTGGGTAGTTATGCACTTCTACGGTCTCAACAATATTAGGAAAATAGGGACACTTATGACGACGATGCTTAATTCGGTACTATCTAAGTACAATGTTTAGTAATGTGATTCTTATGAGCTTCGCGAATTCCAGCGCTTTCTATTTCTACCAAACATCTTGCTAATAGGAAATAGCGTAAGAGCTAGTTTTTTCGTATGTTTTATGATTAAGGGTGGGCCTGGCAGTGGATCTTGATTAAAACTTGTTGATATGTTGTATGGCATGGAATCTCAAGACTGAAACCAATGAAAAGTTATTACAAGGGTTACCATACACTTGCGTAGGACACAGGGAGGGAGGCATATGCCAATTTCACAAATGTAATGGGGTTTCAACTTTCAAGTATAGAGGGTGTGCAAAGGATTAACCCTCTCTCGTTTTCGCACATGAGACTGATAATAGATAGGTGTTCAGAAAATAAGATCAGCGATGTCATTTCAGCTAATCCCGCTTCATTATTTCAAGGAGGATCGCTTTGCGACATAATTATAATTAGTTGGTCTGTAAATTCTGGATGTTCAAGTTGTTCTTGAGTCAAAAGTGCTATGAAGGATACAGTTGCAGGTGCTTCTAGCAGACGAGGCAAACTCACAGGAGATGCTTCTAGCAGACGAGGCAAACTCACAGGAGATGCGATCATCCAAAAACACCCACGAGTCAGCGGACTGGGTGCCTTGTTACTGCAAGATCAGCTTCATGCTACTCCACTCACCAGCTGAGGCCATTCCTTCCTCTCAGCATGTGGACAAGCTTATAAGCTGGAACACCACCCGCAAATTTTACTCGGCAACTCCCACACTGGATCAACTGGCGAACCACATTTTGCATCAGTAATGCCAAGCGCACATTTTGCATCAGTAACACCAAGCGTCTGGTTCAATAACTATCTCGATATACATACAAAGGAAGTTTTCCAGAAAGAGAGAGAGAGAGCCATATTCTCACAACAGCATATAGTTTTCTAGTAAGACGAGTTTACAATCTTCAGATCCAAGGTCTAACTCCTCAGGCAACTGGAGCACCTTGTTACACAATAATCAGAAACCAGATCTCACAACTTGCTATTCTTGAGTATAAACCATCGAAAAGGAAATGGGGATCGGGGCTCGAGATCAGCCATACATCTTCATGATAAAAAGGCAGTCAAAACACTTTTCCATGAACTTCATGCAGATACCGTCTCTGCTGAAGCCAAATTCTACATATTACACGGACGATTTACCAAATATTGCTTTGCAAATAGGAGTACGCCTCTCATCGTGCCATCTTCTTTAGGTGTTGAAAGGTGCGTTGTTTAATCCACTCTCTGTCATAGGGCAGATATGCCTGGATATTATGATCGTAACTGCAGGTTCAAATAAAAGGTAAGGGCATTAGTAGTATGACAAAAGAATAAGGCCTCATTGCATAAAATAATAGGATTATCACGACATCTACTGTTCCTGTCTGATGCAGTCTGGTAATATAAGAGGTTGAGTAATAAAAATTCACAGAACCCTCTTTGCATTCCTTTCTGTAAACATATGGAAGAAATTTTTTAGGATGTATTCTGCCAGTAAACACTTCACCTAGTTTAGCAAAAGTTCAGAATTTACTGGTGGCCAGCACTTCAGCAAGTCTTCGGATAGAATGATGTAAAGAAAATTGAAGAAGACAATTTTCAAGACAAATTCATGAAATAGAAGAGGCGTTGTTCTACTTGGAGATAAGAGGCAGTATGTTAAATCTGAAACATAGATAAAATGGAGAAAGCAAGACAAATCAAATTAAACCAAGCACTTCTGTTGCAGAGCTCATAGTCAATGTACACAATTAAAGGTTCTTCTTGTTTTAAAAAGAAAGCCCGTCTCTAGATTAATGAGATGAAAACTTAAAACAAGGAGAAACAATATCGTAATAGCTAAAACTCTTCTATTGCTCTATGCAAAACCTAGAACTTCTTTCCAGCAACAGAAGAAGTATTTTCAATCCTTTTTTAGGCAGATGTGAAAGCATACTGCATGGTGCATAAAGCATGAGAGAGAGAGAGAGAGAGAGATACACTAGAGCACTCAAGTCCGTGAGACCATCCATGAAATTGTAAAGATCTGCAATATCGTAAGTGATGTTTCTGATGGCTGGATTTAGCTCCTTGAGTTTTCTTTCATATAATCCACATAAACCTGCACAAAAATGTATACAACGAAAGTATTTAACTATACAATAACCCTCTAATATCTCTGATATCCACTCAAGTAATCCATCAACATAATCACTTTTTTGAGCACCAAAATAGACAGTTGTGAATTGTTCTCAATTTTCTTTTCTCTGTTGGGAGGGGGGTTGGGAGAAAATAGAGGAATTGGCCCTTTCCTTGAGCACGCCTATGCGAGTTTAAACTATATATTTCCACTGACTATGAACTCAGTGCATAACTATTAAAGTGGAAGCCTATTTAACATAGCTCCATCATGGACGCTGACACTATGCATTGCTTTCAGACGTGTTTGCATTTCTTTTGGTTGCAACAAATACTGAGGCAGGCCATGCTAGACAACAACCATTTGATCAAACTTGACCCTTCTTTCAATCAGGTATCAGCCAGTCTTATGCTTTTCACTCAAGAGGGCGAAATTCGCCCATTTACCCACTTAGAAAAGTGAAGTACACAAAACCTGAAATCATACTACTCTAATAAGCATCTTTCAGCCTAATCTTTCAGACTCGAACGAGAAAAATGTATCGTTTTGATGCGTCGTCGACTTGCTGGAAGATGATCTGTTTGCTAGAAGTTTCAACAAACTCACAGCTCTACTTATAATCACAGATACATACTCTCGGCATGATAAACATTCCATGTATAAACATAAGATATTTCCAAGTCTCAGAACTCCTCTTTCTCAAATCAGTTGCCAATGAATGAATGATGACAAATGAAGCCATAGTACAAATAAACCGGGACTAGCAAAAGTAAAGCCAACGCGTTCTCCTATCCTAGGACAAGCAAAATCAAATTCTCGTATCTTGTCCCTTCCACGTGCTTTCCTCATAAAGGGATTGCAGAAGAAAATCCACAACTATGCTGTTAAGATAAAGCAGCGTCTCTGATGATGCTAATGCAAAATATATAGAAAAAACTTGTAGAAAGCTAATCACTTTTCTTCGTCTAATAAAGGGTGAGCAATGGCGGTTAGAACCATCAAGAAATATCAGCGCGATACCTAGCATACATACCATCCATAGCTTGACTCACTGAACCGTAGTCCATGAAAGTCCTGCTTGCTCTGTTTTGAGAAGTCTGCATGAGAATGATGGTGTGCCTGTTCGCCTACATGGGAAAAGCACGGAGAGGTAAGCATCAGCAATTCAGCATGCCCAATGCTTATTCAGAAAATTGCATAATAACATCCACGAAACGCCCTCGATGCCGACTCTTCTACACATTCATATTTAATATAGCAAGAGCAGCCATTTCCTTTGGATTGCAGGACTCTCTCCTATCCGATAAACCGATCGGGGCTCTAAAATCGCGCACGAGAGCTGTCGATCGACCTTAGGTTCCAAAACCCGAGCATTCAAAGTACAGATTTCGAAAGTGTGTACGAACTGCAAACTGGACAACCACGCCGACAGAAGACAAATTTCCTAGGAAATGTTTTTCGAGCGGCCGCAGAGAATCGTTAAAGAGGGGACTATCCCTTTCATTGCAACACCGAGCATCTAAAGTTAACTCCTTCAAACACATCAAGCTCGCGATTTTCAGTCGAACGTTGTCACACGGCATCAAAAGCCACTCAAGCGAACCTACAGACGCGATAATCGAGCTCGCCGTGCGGCGGCGCATATTTACCATGATATCTCACTGCTCCGGAAGTCCAAACCTCCCCAACCGAGGCAACGGCCGAACGCGAACGGGATCACAGAGCAACCGGGGAGCTCTACAGCAGGGGGCGCCGGAACCGCTCGTTCGGCCGCGATCGCCGGCGATCTGGACCCCGCCGGACTGCGGCGTTGTTCTCAGGCGATCCCTGTCGGAAAGGAAGACGAAGAGGAAGGACGGAGGAGGAAGAGGAACTGGATTCGGAACCCTAGCTGGCTGGCTGGAGGAAGACGAAGAAGACCGCTCGGGGGTTTGCGGGGGGGATTCCCTTCCTTTTGCGCTTTGGGATTGTTAAAGCGTAACGCGGAATTTATTCTTCTTTTTTTATTCGGGGAAAATGGCTGGGCCTCCTTCTGCGAAACCTGCGAGCTCTTTCCTCTCTTTCGTTTTGACTCCGAGTCAACCAGAGTTGTCTCTTTCCAAACGCGCGCAATTTCGCTGTCATTTTCATTTTACGAACATCAACTGCCCGTTGTTGGGTAAGAACGAAATTGCTAATAAATCACCATGTTATTTCTCGTGGATTTTGTTCTTTCAGAAATATTGAAATAATGTATATTTTTTAAAACGCTCCAACAATAATTTAAGAAAAAATTCTGAATAAGGACCTGAAGTACTCTCGTTTTCTCAGATAAGAGCATGAAGTGGACGTTGTGTCAAATAAAGGGCCTGAATTAGCATTATAGTCTCAAATAAAGGCCTGAAGTGGCGTGATAGCCTCAAATAAAGGCTTGAAGTAACCATGATAGTCTCAAATAAGGGCGTAAAGTGACCATGATAGTTTTAAATAAGGACCTGACCCAGCCGGTCATCGTCCGGCAAAATATCATGGTCGGTCAAGGGCATTTTCGTCCAAATATAATTTTAATTTTAAAATTTTTTTTCTTTTTTCATTTCTTTTCTTTTTTCCTTTTTCTAGTTTTCTGTTTGTGCTTTGCCAATGGTCGGTTTCGGTGGTCAGCTGGCCATCGGCGAAGCCCGAGAGGGGTTGAGCAAGGGTCGCCCTCGCCCAAAGTTGGCGAGGCAAGGCGAGACCGGCCCTCGGTTGTGAATTTCGAGGGTGGGCTTGCCCAAGGCGAGGGTCACCTCGCTGAGGCCGTCCCTCGTCTACTGCCAACGAGGGCGACCACAAATGAAAAATAATAGCCCTACCTTCGGAAAGTCGGCCTTGTTTGAAATGACATAACTACTTCAAACCTTTATTACCTCACGCTCTTTTAAATTTTCCCATAATTTAATAATACGAGCCACCTAGACAGCAAAGGCACAAATAGAAAACCAAAAAAAGAAAAAAAGGAAAAAAAAATCAAAAAAGTAAAAAGACGAAAATGCCCTTACCATTCGGAAAGTCAGGCCTTGTTTGAAATAGACATAACCACTTCGACACCATTATTGAAAAAATGATTTTAACTTCATCGCTTCTATTTGAAATTTTCCCATAATTTAATAATATGAGCTCATGTTACCGCTAGACATGTCAAAATGAATCATAAACCCATTTCTTAACCTATATATGGTAAATGAGTCATAAATAGGTTAGTTATATTAAGTAAATAGGTCATAAATAGGTATAAACAAAATATGGGTGTTAAATGGATCGTAAATGGATAATAAATAGGTTTACAACTTATTTAAATCTAACTCATCTCTCTCACCATCACTCAATTCCGTGCTTACTTACTTCGCACTCTCATCTCAGTTTGACACGAGTTTTCGTAAATTGAGTTAAATATAAAAATGTTTTAACAATATGGATTGAGTTTGGTATGGATTGGGTATGGGTTATTAGATTTGCATAACATGAAAATAGGTCAAAATGGGTTAAATGGGTTTATTTGGGTCGAATCATTTTTTACCCAACCCATCCGTTTAACAGGTTTACGTACCGCTTTAATGGGCAAACATCCCAGTCGTTGAAACATACTATAGCCTTAGGTGGCGAAGAGTCTACATCGTGAGGAAGATTAACCTGTTATCTCTAGAGTAACTTTTATCCTTAGACTCATTTTTATCCCTCTAAGCAATGGCCTTCCACTCGGCACCATTGAATTACTAAGGCCTACTTTCGTCCTTGCTTAGTGAGGGGGTCTTGGAGTCAAGCTCTCTTCTGTTTTTGCACTAGAGGGCTAATCTCCGTCTAGCTCAAGAAAACTTTTGCCCACCTTCGTTACCTTTTGGGAGGCCTAGCCCCGTAGAAACTATACACCTGAGACTATCTGTCACGTCCCAACTCGGAATCACGATCAATGCTTAAGATCGAACATGACCCGAACGGACCCATGACTTGCGGAAATGTATTAGTTCGTCCCGTTCATTTTAATCAATCAAATGCGCACGCGGAAGCACTTAAAAATAAACGAGACAACACGAGTGATAAACAAACATCGCACGTTGTATTTACATGATACGTGCTTATTTTTGTCGAGCCCTTCTTTACGGGCCGTTATAAGCCACGCTTATATTTTACATGCCCATTTCAAGGGCGATGCCGCAAAAACCAAATATCGACAAACAAAATCTTGGCTAGGGTTCCTAGCTTCACTACGACTTCTCGTTCATCTCGCTCCTCCCGCTCCTCGTCCGCCTGGCCATCTCACGCTCCACCCCCGGTTTGCCCCGAAGCCGACCTGCCCGGTCCGCCGAATGGCCCGTTGAATCCACGAAGGGGTCCAACCCATTCTCTGTGTGCGAGGCGGTATCACGCCTCATACGGGTGAGGGACTAACTCTTCACGGCCTTCGTCGACCATCACATATGTTGTGATACGACGGTACGCACGACCTTCCCGAGCGTCGATTACGGTGAGGAGTTCGGCTCGCATTTCCACAGGGTTCCCGAACCGGATTGGAGGAAATGCCATATCACGGACCTAAAAAGAGGAAAAACAACGGGAGTGAGTCGGAGAGACTCAATAAGTGAAAACTCTAATATCAAGCGAGGATAAGACAATCGCCGTACATATAAGTCGGCTCTTACTGTACCGGTATCGATGGCAAATAAATAGCAAACTTCATGCTACGAAACCAACAAAACAAACATCAAATATGAGCGTCACACGTGAACATCACTTGTCAAGAAAGAACAAGCTATAATCGACCACGAAACCCAGAAACGGGCCAAGCAACCCATGTTACAACGTATCGCAGCTTCCTTTCCCGATATTAGGGAATTCACTTACTGAACAAACTACTGTAATACGAAAGACTAGAAGAAGAAAGTGGCTGGTGGCTTGGCTTGAGCACGGAACAAGCTTGATTTCGGGAGAAACGGGGCCTCAGGCGAGTCTCGGGTGTTACTTCCTAGTTGGCCGAACAAGCAAGGAGATAGAACAAGGTTGGCTTGAGCTTTTTTTGGGCATGGATGAGGAACAAGAAAGCAAGAAGGCAAGAGAAGTGGCTGGTTTTCTAGGGGGCTTCACGTGAGAAGGCTTCTTGCTTCTTATAAAGACACCAAGCTTGGAAAAGAAGCCAAGCATTAATGTGCATTCATACACAAGAGCCAAAAGTCATGATGTATGGTCATTAAGGGCATTAAAAATTGATCTTATCCTTGGCTTCTCTCTCTCTCTCTCTCTTTCTCTTGGCCGAATAGCCTCTCTCTCTCGGCTCCCCTGTGGCTTGGCCGAATGGCCTTGCCTTATGCTCCATTATTGGTAGCCATTGAGTCGTCAAAGAGCCTTAAATGCATGGCACACCTCAGCTTGACAGCAATAATAGAAGGGGACACCTCATGGGGGTCTAATAATGAAGACTATAAATGGCATTAAATGGTCTTAATTGAAGCCTTTGACCAAGTCAACTCTTTTTGTCTTCTTTTCCTCAGCAAATCCGAATCGTGGGAGTCTCTTAAGTTGCTGGTTTCACACAAAAACTTCTCGGCCCATTGGTTTACACGAAACCGGCTAAACGACACTATAACCGTAATCCCGCATCATACTATTCTCCAAATTTCCGAGGGTTATCCACGCTTAATAGACCCGTTCAACCCAAGATTTGATGCGAGAATATCCCCAAAAATCATCTAACACAACCAAATCAAGGCCCAAGCAAAATGGAAGGAGTCCAAGCAAACCGGGTTGCTAGGCGCATGGCCGGGCATGACTGGGCGCGTGGCCGGGCGCACTACCGGGCCGCACGGGCACGGGACTGGGCCACACGGGCACATGGCCGGGCCGCATGGGCGCTGCGCCGGGCTGCATGGGAGACGTGCCGAGCGCCTTGCCGGTTGCACGGGCGACGTGCCGAGCACCATGCCTGGTCATACGAGCGAGGGATCGGTCCACGGCCAAACACGCGCAACGGCTCATGAATGACAAGATGCACGGCTCATAGCCATATTTCTTGGGCACGGGACGAGATTGGAACCGGATCTTATGGGCACAACGCTTAGCAGAAGGGTCAGGCACAATGGCTGCGCACGACCGGGCACGTAGCCGGTCCGTGGCCTAGCTGACGGGCACGATGGCCTGTCACGTCCGGGCACACGGCCTAGCCGGCGCGGCTGGCACATGGCCTAGTCCGCGACCAAGCCATTGGGCTCGTGGCCTGGCACATGGCTCATCCATGGCCTACCTGACTTGGCACAATGATTCGTGGCCGATTCGCGACCGGTCCACGTTCGAGTATCAACGACCCATGATCGACCCTCGATTGTCATGTAGACTCGTGGAATCCAGTACCCCAGAATTAACTCATGGTCATCCGGGATCGATGCATGGCCGTGCGGTATCACCCGCGACCGATACATGCCGACACCGGACTGATCCACAGCTATCCCGGACCATTCCACTAACGGCCCTTATGGTCGAAGGGTCACTCCATGGTCATATTACTCTAATCATTTGCATAGTCAGGGACTCATTCTACTGTCGATCCCTAGGCTAATTCATGGACAATCTTTCGATCGAACCATGACCAACCCTCAGTACACTCGTTCCAATCATATTGTCCATTCCATTGCCGACCCTTGGCTCGAATTACCCGCTCATCTATTTATTACTAGCCATCGGCTTCCTAGGTCCGAAATCGGGGATGCACACTATCCCTTGGCCTGTAGGTCCTAACACGAGGTTAGAATTCTAGAAAATAATGTTAAATCAATGGAGAACTCTATATTAACTTAAGTTATTTTTAATAAAAGAATGACTTAAGAAGCAAATTTCAAGACGCAATGGGAGGCAAACTTAGTTGATAATGAGTGGTCCTTTCTCATAATTAGAATATGGGAAAATTACCAAAACAATCATAAACCTATTGTAATTGTGCTAATTCAGTTCTCAACCTTTTTTTTTTGTGCCAATTCAATTCATCCGGCTAATTTTGGCTAGGCAATGCTGACGTGAACGTCACTGATGTGGCAATTATTTAATTTTTTAAATTCTTTTCTTTTTTTTTCCTCCCTTCATCTTCAACCCTGCCGAGGCTCGACCTCGCCATTGCTGGGTGAGGTTGATCTCGCCAATTGCCGTCGAGTTTGACCCTCGCCAGATCTGACGAGACTTGTCCTCACTGGCGTTGGCAAGGCTCAGCCTTGCCCGCAAGCCTAGCCTGTAGCGAGATTGACCTCGCCAGTTGCCGGTGAGTCTAACCCCGCTGTCGCTTATGAGGTCGAGCCTCGCTTGCCTAGGTGAGGCTCGAACTTGCCGGCCACTGGTGAGGTTGACCTCGCCCGCAAGCCTAGCCACTGCCGAGGACGAGCCTTGCCATGCCTGGGCGAGGCTCGAACTCGCTAGACATTGGCAAGGTCGCTAGCGCCGACGCAGATCTGGCGAGACTCAAACTCAACGGCAACTGGCGAGGTCAGCCTCATCAGCCCCCGCCTTTGGCTGGTCACCAGTTCGGCGATCGACTAGAGGTTGAAGATGAAGGGAGAAAAAAAAGGGAAAAAGAAAAGAAAAGAAAAGAATTAAAAAATTGCCACGTCAGCGTTAGCCAGACGCCTAGTGTCCACATCAGCATCGGGCAACCAAAATTAGTCGGATGGACTGAATTGGTACAAATGCAAAAAATTTAGGACTGAATTAGCACAATTGCAATAGGTTTAGAACTGTTTTGGTAATTTTCCCTTTAAATATATATAACCTATCCTGGCCCAGTCCGGTCCGATCCGGTATGGAACAAACTTATAATCAAGGAATTGACTGGATCATCATATTATAAATTTATAACTCTAGCCCATTTCCATTTCCATTTCGGGTGGAACAGGTCTACTAATTTTTTTTATTCAGTTAGTAAGAGGGATCTTGAACTAAGAAATATGTTGTATAAGCGAGAAAATGTATTATGAACAATGGTAATAAACGGGCTCATTTATATTCCTGTTATATAATCCATAATAGAAAATATTTGTATTTAGATATACACAAAGCCCAGCCCATTGGCCATCACATAGCCCAAACCTCAAAAGGTTGAGCCATCTCTCCTCATACTGATAATACTGATAATAACAATAATAATAGAACTCGAGAGACTGGAGATCGAGGTTTAGCTCTCGGGGAGGCATGGCGGCGGCGGCGGCCTCGGGCCGGCGGTTGCCCCTCTCCGATCGGCGGTTGCCCTTCTCCGATCGGCGGTGAAGTGGACGATCTGTCCCTCTCTCTCTCTCTCTCTCTCTCTCTCTCTCTCTCTCTGGGGGAATCATATTGGGCTAACGTCTTCTCTGTCTCTGTACATACAGACATACATACACACATACACACAAACTCGCAGCAGCAGCAACTGCGATGCAGAGGAAACCAGAAACATTTGCTCGATCGTCGAGACAAATCGCCCCCCCAAGCTTCAATGGCAGAAAGGTAAAGTTGATTATGAGGCGATGAGGAATGAGTTACGGGGTGTTCAGGCTTTTTTTCGTTGGAGAACTGTCCGTATCTTGGCATGGCGATTCTGGGGGGCGTGTCGCAGCCATGGCGGGGTTCCGCTTCTTGTTCGGTTGTTGCCTGATAATATATGGAAACTCTCATCTGAGCCTCCAAGATCTGCTCTTTTTCTTGCTTCAAAAAGTTCAAAAGTGGCGTCTTTATGCGGTTTTCTTGGCCAAAATCTTGTTCTTGTTTATACTCTCTGTTTGGTCACGCAGAGTATGAGATCTCAAGATTGCCATCTGATCTTTTTCGCAAATGGGATGCTTCTTGTTGTGGCATCTTGGATCGGCGGTCAGGATCTTGAGAATTCATCTGTCTTTTCCATTTTTGTGTTGGGTCGGGAGATTCATTTCTTTCAAGAGTTAGATTCTCGTACTTTCCAACAAATTTTTCTTTCGATTGCCAAAAGCAAAACAACACTTTCTTCATTTTCCCATAAAAAAAGTAATTAATTTTCTTGTTTTGAAGTAGACCCCGATCGTAAATGCATGCCGGGTTCCGGTGGGGGACACAGAGTCGCAGACAGCCTTGAAAATGAAAGGAGCTCACGGCTTTTGAGGTTGTCGTGGCAGTCACTTCATACGCAACGTTTCGAAATTACAATAAGGAAGTATACCACTGTACGATCATCTCAAAAGAAACGCCAAACCGAACTTCACCAAAATACCCTCCGTAGCTGGGGGCTGTTCTCGTAATTTCGAGTACAGTGATTTGGGAACTCAAAATGGGTAAACGCCGAGCATCGGAACAGGGAGAGAGAGAGAGAGAGAGAGAGAGTCTTGCTACGAAACTGAAGGGCTCGAGAAAGCTGAAGCAGATTCGGCTTTGCTCTAGGAGAGGCGCGGCGCGGCGCGGTCTCCGGCCGGAGGTTGCGCCTTCTCCGATTGGCAGCGAAGTCGACGATCTCTTCCCTTCGCTCTCGATCGCTCAAACACACGCACTCTCTGTTTTTCACGGGAAAATATCGGACCAGACTCGGAGCCATTCTGTTCTTGAAAGCGTTTTCAGCTTCCGTTTTCACGAAAGCGATGCACTTTCTTGGCCTTCTTCGCTGGCTTGTACATGCATATGTATATATATATAGTTAGACAGAGAGATAGATATGTTTCACTGGTTGATACATTCTTCTGCTCCAATCCATGATAGTATAAAAAAGGTAGGCTGCGTGAGGCGATGAAAGATTTCACTGGAAAGAGAAAACCGAAAAGGGAACCATTCAGGCGTCAGAGAACCGTCCGTATCTTGGCATGGCGACCGCAATCCGGAGCTCGCGCGTCGCAGCCATGGCGGGGTTCCAAGTTCCTTCCTTGTGCCTGATAAAGAAGCGGTATATCCACATCTGAGCCTCACTCATCTAATCAAAATCATCCCCCCCAAATCTGGGTTTTTCTGGCCGTTCGAGTCTCTTTGGTGTTCGGGTTACCCAAAGGAATGATGAAAGTGGTCAGACTTTTTTCTCTTTCCATGGTTTTACGCAGTGCCATTATTGCTCTGCACTGTGTTTGGAAGGTAGTGGGGGAGGAAGATGATGATGATGGTGCACTCGCCTTCTACTTTCTCGAGGAAGGAAAAAAAAATTTCAAAAAGCTAAAATTTTATGGTTCTTTAATGCATAATTACTTTCACGTTTCCCAAAAATTAGTATTTTGAAAAGACGTATGTGCCCCTGGACGGCAGGTGTAGGTCCGGTCTAAATCAATCTTCACCGGTTTCGATGCGCCTCTGATCAAATCAAAATCGTTTCACTGTAAAACAGAGTAATGTACAAAGTACTGTTGAAGGTTCCAATGTAATTTACGCACCAAAAGTCGGTCAAAAAGGTCACAGTTTGGGCGACCGAACATGACGGAATTGCCCCCATGGTTCCGTTCCATCCAGTTTCACCTTTATGTCCAGCAAACAGTACCGTCCGTAAGGGGCAAAAGAGTAATAGAAGCCTCTCCATCCTCCACGGCTCTGCATATAGAAAAAATGCAAAAGCTATCACTGATTCGTGTGGGGAGGAGGCTTTGTACCCCGGAGAGGGACCCGGGTGGCCCACTGTCGGCGGTGGTCGCCCCCGTCCCCTCTCCGGTCGACGGCGGAGCCGATGATTTCCACCACCCTCGGATGCCGTCCTACGTCGTCATCGTCGGCTTCTGGTTGAACGTTCAAGTGTACTACATATGGGTGTGTGTGTAATGTATCTGTATCTATATCTATGTATGTACATGCTTCGCTCCAAGAAAAGGAAAAGGAAGAGAAGAAGAGGAGAAGCCGAGGCCGAGAAAGGTAGAAAAGATCATTGGAAATGCTTCTGCTTCTTGCTTATGCTTCGCTTTCATCTTCCTCGCTAAACATCATCATCTTCTTCATGGACAACTTCCCAGAACTTCCAAACCCAATATCCTCCTCCTCCTCCTCCGCCGCCAATGAGTGCGGATTCCGCTGTGAAAAAGTACGAGAACGCGTGAAAAAAAAAAAAGGAGAAGAGGCTGTGATGATTCGCAAGAATACGGAGGAGAGGGGAAATGAAACGGGGCAGGCACCGAGAACCGGCCGTATCTTGGCGGGGCGGCCAGAACCGGTCGCAGCCATGGCGGGGTTCCTTTCAGTTGCCTGATCTAAGGCGAATCTGAGCCTCGCTATCTTCCAACACCCCTGATGTCTTCTTTTTTTCCCCCCTTTTCCCTGATGTGATTATACGAGTTGTTCTTGTGTTTCACTGTGACAAAAAGGCGGGGTTCTCTCATGGCCCTTTTCTTGTATGAGCTGTAGTTGTCTTTTGATTTTGCAACTGCGAAATTCTGGGTTCTCTTCTCTGACCTAGCGATAAGATAAGCGATGATTTTTCAAAATCATGTCTTTAAGTTTCTTGAGTTCTGTTTGGGTTTTGGGTTTCTACAGCGACAAGAAAGGACCAAGGTCGTCTCTTTTCTTCTTTCTCTGCTCCTGCAGGAGCAGCATTCCCAAGTTTGCCTTTGCACGTTGAAATTTCTGGCTTCATTCGACAAAAACTACCACCGATGGGTTTCCAGATCGATCGAGTCTGAAGAGCTCGCCGGAAAGATCGCCGGAGTCCGAAAAAAGAGATGACTCGGTTCCATGTTTTTCCGCCGGAGACAGTGAACCGTTGCATGAATTTTGATGTTCATTGTAGATTAGAAATTTTGGGCAAAGATGATCCAAAAAGAGTAAAGCGATCATATATATCTGAGCATTTACAGCAAACAGTAAAGCAGGTCAAACATGATGAGAGGTGATTTCGAAGTAGTCATTTTTTGTTATATGTAAATCGAATGTTAAGAAGGATTTTGGGAGGAAAAAAGAACTATCTTTATCCAATATGATTCCACTAAAGTTCTTAGTTCTTTAGCGACATTCGATGACTGGAAGCCACCAAAAAGGGGTCGTGTTTTCCCTTCTAAGGAAAGATAAGAATGATAAGCGGGTAACCAAACTTACGTGTTAGTTAAAAATTATTTCCTGTCTAGTAAATATGTAATTGTCGCAATTTAAGGTTTGAGAGTTCGATTGCACTTTTCGATAAGAGTTTAAAATTTGATTGGATCAATTCAAACATTTAGAATTGCATTCCATATATGTAAAGGTTTAGCACTTTTAATGCACTATTTTCGAAAGATTAAATAACTTATATTATAGTTTTCGAATTTCTTATTTTGAGTTCGCTTGGCCTCTCGATAATTTTTCAAAATCAAATTATTACCCAAGGTAACGATATCCTCGTTGGGAAAAAAGAAGGGTTCGGCAAAGAAAGAAATTCTCCATACTTGAACGGTCCTAGTCAAGACATGTCCCACTCATATCAATCATCTCGGGATATGTGTCAATTCTTTTTGAACAGAATTAGCCATAGGCATGTTTTATGTAGTACATCCATGGAACTAGCTATAACGGGTCCATACTTATACATGATAAATCGTCCAAAATCTTTTTAGTACATATTCACCTAGTAACTTCTATCTCGTGTGTAAACATAATAATTTCGCACGTTACTGATTAAAAAATACAGAAATTTACAATAACCTTATTCGGAAGGAGCGAGATATGTTTCGACCAAAAAAAAAAGAGCAAGATATATATATTTTAGGGAAAATATCATTTAAAATCTCAAATTATGTCATTTGTGATAAATTTATCTTCAACTTTTTTTTGTAACATGAAAAATCTTAAACTATGCCGTTTGTGATGAATTTACCTTGAACTTTTTTATGTAATATGAAAAATTCCAAATTATATCACTTGTGATATATTTACCCCACAATACTTTAATTTATGAACATTTTCATCTTTTTTCTTTTTATATTTTTTCTTTTCTTTTCTTCTCTCTTCCCTTCGCCATGGCTTTCAAAAACAGAACACACGCACTTCCTTCAATCCAATTCCACTCTCCTCACACGAATTAAAAACAGAGATGATGAATTCGCCTTTTTGCCCTGCCGCCCATCCCCTACAAGGCCGTGTGCAATACAGAAAGTAATAACATCAGTAAGGGGCAAAAGAGTAATAACAACCTCCATCCCCACAGCTCTGCACATAGAAAATGCAGAGAGCCTGAGAAGGCTCTCACTGGTTAGTTTAAAGAGGCTTTGCCCCCCGGAGAGGGTTCTGGGTGACCCGCCGTCTGCGGCGGTCGCCCCTTTCTCCGGTCGACGGCGGAGCCGATGATTTCACCGCCCGCAAAACGACGACCGTCTCGCTGAACGTACCTGTGTACATATGTGTATGCATGTATCTGTATATATATATATCTGCGAACCCAAAACAAAGCCAAAAAAAAAAAAAAAAGAGGAAAAGAGGAAGACGAAGAAGCCGAGGCCGAGAAAGGTAAAAAGATCATTGGAAATGCGTCTGCGTCTGGCTTCTGCTTCGCTTTCGTTTTCCTCGCAAACATCATCATCATCATCATCTTCATCGACCACTTCCCCAAAAATTCAACAACCATCTCCTCCTCCTCCTCCTCCACCACCTATGACTGCGGATTCCGCCGCGGTTAAAGAGAAAAAGATGAGGCTGTGATGATTCGCCAACGTAAGGAGGAGAGATAACGAAACGGGCAGGCACCGAGAACCGGCCGTATCTTGGCGGGGCGGCCAGAACCGGCCGCAGCCATGGCGGGGTTCCTCTCAGTTGTCTGATCAAGGGTGATTCTGAGCCTCCTTATCTTCTTCTTTCTTCCCCATTTTTACCCAAATCTGCTAATCTTGTTTAATGAAGAGCTCGTCTTGTGTTTTGCTGTGACAAAAAGATGGGTTCTTTCTCGGCCCTTTTCGCCAGTACCTGATCTTTTCACTTCTTCTTTTCCTTTCTCTCTGGGTAGTTTTTGCCCTCTGTTTTCTCTCGTGACAATGGCTAGTTTCTTTTGCCTTTACATGGTTCGAACTGTGGTTGCCTTGATTTTGAATTACGAGATTCTGGGTTTTCTCTTCTCTGCACAGTTTTTCAAGTTGTCTTTGGTTTCTTTTCAGTTTTGTTTTGAGTTCTGGTCCTTTTACATCGACAAAGAAAGGTCGTCTATCTTCCGTCTCTGCTCCTGCAGAAAAAGAGAACGTACTTTTTTATCATTTGCTACAAGGGAGTTTTCAAGATTTTCTTCACTTGCAGATGTCTCGGTTTTTAAGGCGGCGACGATGTGCTCGCCGGAGATGGTGAACTGTTGTTTCATTAAGTTTGATGTTCACCGGAGTTGGAGCTCTCTGTTGCAACGATATTAGGGGGAGATTAGAGATTTGGGGAAAGATGATGCAAAAAATGAGTAAAGTTATCATGTCAGAGCATTTACAGTAATGCAAGGCGAGTCTTGTCTGTCCTTACCTGGTTAAAAAGTAATCGCGTTCAACGTATTGGAGAAGGGTTAAGTGTAACGACGTTGCTTTTGCATGAAAGGAGATAGAGAAATGGAAAAAATAGAAGAGAGTGTTTCCCATATTTAGATGGGTTAATAGTACGAGAAAATTTCAAATTAGTATGAAAAATTTAAAACTGATACATTTGTGATCATTTTATTTTAAATTAATTTTTTTATCATAAAAAATTTTAAACTGGTATATCTGTGGTAATTTTACTTTAAATTAATATTTTGATCATTAAAAACTTCAAATTAGTATATTTGTGATAAATTTACTTTTTGTTAATTTCCGTTAAATTGGATTAATATTACAAAAAATCACAAATCCACAAATCGATATACCCATGATAGATTGTTAATTCGGTCAACTGTTTTGTGTCATTTAACAAAGCAATTTGACAATAAAATTTAATATAATAAAGTAATTTAATAGTAAAATTTAATAGAAACAAATTGAGGGTAAAATTGTCACAGGTCGCATGTCATTTAACAAAGTAATTTGACAGTAAAATTTAATGGAAATAAATTGAGGGTAAAGTTGTTACAGATGTATAAGCTTGAAGTTTTTTGTGGTCAAAAAATTAATTTATGATAAAATTATTATAAGTGTACTAATTTAGGGTTTTTCGTGATATTAACTCTATTTAGATTGAAATGGTTAAGAAGGGGATTTGACCTGAAAAAAACATATATTGTCTTGTCCAATACGACTGCTTGAAATTCTTAGTTTTCTAACGGCATATTCAATAGCTAGATGCCATAAAATTTAGAAAAGGGTCATGTTTTCTTCCGTTCGTGTGATATTTATTAAAAAATTTGGTCATCGGCTTATCATTCCTATCTGTTCTTAGTGCCCTGTTATAATTTTCTGCCCGTGTCATTGTCATCTTCATCTGCAAATTTCGAACGCCTTATTCGACGAAATGAAAACTACATCACTCAAAAGAAAAGATGATACAAGAGACTCGAAGCAAGTTTTACTTATTTGCTACTTTTTGGTTTGTTTTCTTCTTCTTTTCACATATTCATTGAAGAGCAAGGGTGACGGTTTAAGTCAAAGTCGCACCGCAAGTCCTAAACCTTTGTATAGAAATACAATTGGCTCCTAAGCCTTATTATTTCAATTAATTAAGCCCCGAACCTTTCTAAAAATGTGCAATCAATTCACTTTGACAAACATTGAACAATATTTAAAGTATTTTATGTGTCACTAAAAAAGTTGGTTACTTGGTATCCTCGAAATGCAATTTCTTACATAAGCTATAGAATTTAATTGCATTTCTCAATAGATATTCATAATTTAGTTGTGCCAATTAAAAGTTTTTAAAATTCGATTGCATTTCTTAATAAATGTTTAGAACTTGAATGTACCAATTAGATGGATGCCGATTGTCTTACGTGACACGGTTAGCGCTGACTATGGACGAATCTCGAACTTTTTCTCGACAGGGGGCAACACGATTTGTGATTTCAAAGAAATCGTGTACTTTGCTTTAGAAATAAAAAAAAGAGAGAGAGGTTTTGTATGCCTAAAAACTCCGATAAAAGCTAATGTTTCGTTTATCTATATTGTAGGATCGTTTACTAACTTATTATGGATTAGTGAAGGCAATTTACCCTTAATATGACTTATCTACACTTCCTTGTTCGGAAAATTTAATGGAGTAACACTCAATCTCAAGTTTAAAATAGCGAGGAATTACTTTTCAAAATAAGACATATGTCTGTCCATTCAAATACGGAATTACTTGTATTTGTTAGTATGTTAACCACACATAAGTTTATCCCATAAGCTCCGAACAACTTAATGATCAACACAAATACATAGTCCTTAAGTATACATTTATTCTTAATCGATAATTATGATAACATATTTTTGTCACTCTCTACAACGCGCGGACGACATTCAACTTTGAATCCGAAAAACAAAGTACCAAATAAAAAAAAAAAGAAAAGAAAATGACCAAAAAGAAAAAGAGAAAAAGAAAAAGAAAATTGAATAGAATTAGGTAGCGTTGATGGAGGGAACGAACGACGAAACCGATTCTCTGTCTTCCTCCTTCCTCCTTCCTCCTCTCTTTCCCTTTCGCCATCGTTTCGCTGTCGGTGCACGCAATCGCTTCCCGTCGATCCTCTCCTCTCCGTCGCCGCCGACGAGCTGTTCTCGCTCCGATCGATCGATCGATCGGACCGATCCCGATTCCGATAAGCCTTCGCCGGAGCCGGGGGAGAAGATGAAGGTCACGGCCCTGCTGGTTCTGAAATGCGACCCCGGCGGCTCCGATCCGGTGATCCTCGCCAACGCCACCGACGTCAGCCACTTCGGCTACTTCCAGCGCTCCAGCGTCAAGGAGTTCATCGTCTTCGTCGGCCGCACCGTCGCCAGGCGCACGCCCCCGGGCCAGCGCCAATCCGTGCAGCACGAAGGTCGGTTTCTCGGTTCCCCCCCATTTCTCGCCCGCGCTCGCGATTCGAGGCCCTGCTTTCTATTCCCGATGCAGGGTTGTTTCTAACTTGTGCGGAGTTTTGATTAGCGTCTGTCTGCATCGGAGCTCGCTCTTGCTGTGTGTGTGTGTGTGTGTGTGATGTCGATTGATGGATGTTCGATTGCGTGGCGTGAGACGAGGCGCATGTTTGCCTGTGTAATCTGCGAGGTACAATTTGCGTAGCAGGCGAACTTGAATTGTTAAATTGCGATTGTGAGCCCTGTAGACTTCTCGTAGGTCGTGTAATTTGGTCATGACTCAGTGTTGTTATTGCCCTACCTGGACAAAGAGACTACTAAAATTTGTGTCTGTGCTCTCCTGAGTCCTTGGCCTATAATTCTGCGGGAAGTAGCGCCACCAGAACCCGGTTAGATTTCATTGTCACATGTTGATGTTATAGAGCAAAAGTGTCTACAGGCTGTGTGCAAGTTGTACGAGTAGCAAACTGAATTCATCTGTTTGGTTATCTTTTCTTTCTTGTCCCTCAGAGTACAAGGTGCACGCTTACAATAGAAATGGCCTTTGTGCGTTGGGATTCATGGACGATCATTATCCGGTTCGAAGTGCATTTTCTCTGTTGAATCAGGTAGAAACCCACAATTTGTTGCCTATTCAGGCCTTTCCGGCTTGTGTACATGTTAATCGTTACTGATTTGCTGATAGATTGAAATCCTATTCCAAGTTTGGTAACCGAAAGGTTGAATTAGCTTTGCACCACTTCGATTGGTATATTCTTTAGTTACGTGATGATATGCTCTTTGAACCTGCAAATTTGTTGAATCTGTATGTTGAAAATTTTTCTAACACGAACAGTCCATTGAAATGGATAGGTTGCTGGATGCCATTGTGAGAAACTAATACATCGTATGTACAGATAGGAGGCTTCTTATAGACACTTAGAACTCCGGACTGGTCTTTTTAGTGCCATCTGGGACTAAGAATTTAAGTGATTTCTTGAGACAATTACTCTTGAGTATTTGGAGGACTCCTTTAGCTGATGACTTGAGACAACAGTCAGATTTAAAAATATTCCTGGTTTAGTAGGAACAGAAGTACCAAAGGCCTCCTTTTAAATAACTAGCTTTAGAAATGAATCTTTTCAAAATAACTAAGTTGACAAATTAAAAATTAATTCTTTACCGACTTTCCAGATTATTGAGAAATTTTAAAGGACGCTTGGCTACATTGAATCTTGAAGAAATCGAGGGAGAATGAGCTTAAGAACACACTTATAGATCACAATGTCATTTGGTTTCATGCTCTTACGCTGTCGCCTTATAAAAATTTGCACATCCTTATATTTTTGCATTTCTAAAGTTTGAAACTTATGGATTATGTATGGTTTTATTGTGGACAGGTGCTGGATGAGTATCAGAAGAATTTTGGTGATTCTTGGAGGAGTGTAAACTTGGATAACACTCAACCATGGCCATATTTGAACGAAGCTCTAACTAAATTTCAGGTTCTGTCCATTCTCTCGTCACATTAAGTGATATTGCATTTTAGGTTTATTTTATCCCCTGGGTTATCGACTGGAGCTTTAAGACAAAGTCCTCTTTTTGTGATTATGTTTGTTTCTTCTATGAATCTATAGGATCCAGCTGAGGCTGATAAATTGTTGAAAATTCAGAGGGAGTTGGACGAAACAAAAATTATCTTGGTAAGTCATATGCATTTTGTCCCCCTTTTCTTCATGCATATCTCAATCTACATTTCTGCGGTGGCAATTTTAACATGAAAAATGTGAAAGCACGGATGCGAATGCAGCATTAGCACGAGAGAAATTATGGACAGATATTTGAGTCTCATATTACAGGAGCACAATTAAATCGTCATGTTTTGACCCCTTTTTTTGTGAGGATCATCTTTGCATTATATTGTTGTTCAAAATTCAAGCAAGCAAGTGACATAAAGCAACAATGCTCATTGACATGAACACAACGACACAAGTATGAATTGTTATCCTGATGCATTCTCATAATCACGCATGCATGTTTTCGGTCGAGAAGTTCCCCTTATGGTACTCATAAGTCTGCTAAGAAATTTTTAATATCAATCATATGGAATATATAAAGTGATATCTGCCTACCTGAGCCTCCAAGATACTCTTCTACGACCATAAGCTTTTGTTTGGTCATGTAGTTGCTTAGTTTTTTGAACAATGTGCTGAATTCAAAACTATGTTTCTGTGGACACCAGAAAAGAAAAGAAAAGAAAAAAGAAAGAAAGTTGGGAGTTTGGGACTTTCTTTTGCACCAGTGATTTTGTCTGTGCTACAGTTCATCTGTCGATAGCCATTTCTCTGCAGCAAGTTAATGTTGAAGAAAAATATCTGAATATTCATTTTGGTGCACGTGAAGAAACCGGCAATAGACTCGATTAGTAACATAGTAGTGGAAATCTGAAGTGGGATCTTTCAATTCCATCCATGAGAATATGCGGTATTGTTACATTTACTTATAGAGCTAAATTAGGGATACCTAGTATTCAGAGAAGTTTTTGTTAGATATGTTTCCTGTATTGTTTGTGGCCCTTGGGAAAAATGAAGGATGTGTCTAAATGTCATTGCCTTGTATTAGTGTTCAAGCACAGATCCTTGATGGAGCTGTCCTGTTCTTGGATTGCTGCCTCATAGAACATGTGCTTAAAGGATGTAATGTTTTTTATTAGCGACACAGGACAGGTTTTGGCTTTTTCCTTTTGCCTTCCACTTTTCGTTTGTCTCTTACACCCTTTTCTCTTTGATACAGCACAAAACTATCGATAGTGTGCTCGAACGAGGTGAGAAGTTGGACAGTTTGGTTGAGAAGAGTTCAGATCTCAGTGCATCATCACAGGTACTATGTATGATTGAAAGAGGAAAACTAATAATTTGGCAACTAATTGTCTCTCTGCCACTAGTAATCTGCATTGAGCACAGGTTCATAAGTTTCAATTTCCTTGTTTCTTTCTGTCCACTTCCAGTGTTCCACACCTGTCTCAACATGCATATCTACTGGCAACTAGCTGTCCCTTTGAGGCAGATTTTCTGTTAATTATCTTCTGTGACATTGCAACGGATGTCATTTTCTACTGGATTTCATCAAAATATCTTGAACTTGAATGCTTAAAGTTCAAAGAATCCACAGTGTAACTCTTCCACACCAAATCTGGCAGTTTTTATAACGTCAAACGTAGCTGCTGCTTTTGACTTGATTCTTGATTCGTTATATTCGGCATGGAGTTTATCCTTCACACAATATATGCAAATCTTGAACGTTATTCTTTCTCCTCGAACATTGTTTCGTTTGGAGACAATTACTTTTGTTGTGTTAGATTATATCTCAGACAGATTAAAGAATGGTAGGAGTCACAATATTAGCTGTATCAATAATATAACAAAAGTTTATTGGAGTATTATGCAACTGATTTTCGAACTGAGTTTTGTTGAGCCTTGAATATGAGGTGAAAGACCTACTCATCGCTACTGGTTCTGCTTGATTTGTGTCAGAACCTACTCTTAGTTGCTGACACAGTAACCTCTTCTTGTCTCCTGGAACAGTTGTTTTACAAACAAGCCAAGAAAACCAACCAGTGCTGCACCATACTGTAACGTTTTGAGGAGACTAAAGAGAAGATACGCTGTGTAAACACGTAACTTGGTTCCAATAGTGGTCATTCCGTCTGGGGAATACAGAGCAGATGGCATAGTATATACCATCATGGTGATATACCTTCTTTCTGCTGCTTTGATAAGTGCAAACTTGCGGTTCGTGGTTTTTGGCTGAATCTGTCTTAGTTATGTATAAAAGCTGTTTAGCATCGACAGCTGATTGTCCACTGTTCTTTGATTTTCTTTCTAATTGTTCAACTGAAACAATGATTTGTTCATGATGAGCAGTCCAGCTGGTTTGTTTTTGTTTCTACTCATTTTATTTTTCTTTCGGTCATGTTCTTGAACTTTGCTCCTCCAGTTTTCATAGATATGGTCTCTACCTTGTCTGAAATCAATCTCATAGAGTCGCATCATCTTGCACTCCTAACTTCACAATCGACGAAAACTGGTAGTTAATGCTAATGAACAGAAGATAGAAACTTTGCAAGCCAAGAACTTCTGTGTGATTCTTTGCTCTCCAAATTCCAACTTTGAAATTGTTTTGAACTTTTGAGTCTTCTTTTGCATAATATATGTTGGATTCAAATTTTGCTGATGGGTCCTTGTTGTGTCGTATAGTAGTGTGGTGCCAGCCCGGGCAGCCATTAGTTCCACTGCTTTCCCAAGAAGGATAGGAGATGGATCAGAATCTTCAGTGGTGGTCGAGTTCCTTAGAACATGCTCATTCGACATGTATCAAAAATGATGGCAGGCTGAGATTAGTTATCTGAATACGGAGTCTCGGATAGCCATCTTTTATTCACATGTCTCGTACACTAATTGAATATTTGCAAGATCACACAACTTTACATGACTCGATCTATAATCGCACGATTCTCACATCACTCACAACACGATAAAAACACAGGGTTATCTCTTTTTATTTCCGGGGAATATTTGAGACCCCGCTTTCACTGATCGCGTCCTATTTTCCGATAAGGGACTTGAGCCACCAGGTGCCATTGTCTTGGGGACCTCCTTCAGGTGGACGGTCGCTCTGTGGAGTCTTGCGGAGTTTTCTTAAGTCATAACCTTCGTTCTTAGCCTTCTGAACCAGCATCTCATAGATCTCATCTTCCAGCTGAGTCTTCCTACATAATATCTGAAACATGAAGACAAACATTGGGAAAACTCAGAACCTTATCAGAAGGGAACTCACATATCCGCACACGAGCATGTCCTGCTTTTGTGAACTTAGGAACGACAAATAACAGTGAAACAGAAATGGAAGAGAGCTCGACATACCCAGAGGTACTTTCTGGTGGGCTCTCCAATGAGAGCATACTGATAATCATCGTCGAGGTACAACACCCAGTAGTTCCCAACGACGGGAATAACGGGCAAGAACGGAGGGACATAGAACTTGACCTTGAGCTTGGCCTCGTCGCTCTTCGGGTCCGCCTTATATGCCGTGCCCTCGATGGCCACTCTCTTGCCGTCGCTCCAGGTCTCGTTGAGCACATGCACCGTCCCATCTTGGTTAAGAGTGTACGTCGCCCTCGTGTCCACGCCGCTCTTCGGCACGAAGAAGGATGGGATTGACGCTATCTCGTACCATCTTCCCATGTACCTCTCCAAGTCCACGCCCTTCACAACGTCCAAATCTTTCTTCACCATTTTTCTTTTGGTCTTTTGAATGGGGAGGAATTGAATTGTGTCAGAGGTCTCTTGGAAGAAGATCTTCCTCACTCAATGTCTTTTCTTGTTGGGTTAGGTTTTCTTTTTTTTGAATGTCGGATATAACGGGAGACGAGCTTGGCGACACGCGATATTATTGAAGGTGGCGGGGCTACACATGGAGGAATTAGGACCTTATGTTGTTAGGATAAGGGGACCTTCTAGAGTCGTATTGTTTATGGTCATCGCACTAAGCAACTCTTAAATTCCACGGAGGCAGGTGATTTCGATCAAATTCATTAATGATGTTCACACGAGAGGGGAGCCCGTGAGGGGAGCTTTTTGCGCGAGAGAAAGGGACCCGGACCCGAAGGCACGACTTGGCCAGTTAAGCCCATGAACTTATCGATGTTCGACGCTACGAGCCGTCGATCAGTGGACACTGTTGGGCGGGATCGGTGACCCAAACCGCGGTTCAACATCGAGGGAACCTTTCCTCTCTTTGATCTTCGACATTCTCGTTTGAATAGCAACACAACATCAAACTCCCTTGAAGGTGGGATAAAAAGATTAGGAGACGTATCGACGAATCAAAAGTCGATACGAACAAAAAGGGCGATTCTTCTGCTACGACAATCACTAGTTTAATCAATGACTTTGGTTCATTTGGGAGCCATGCTGTATATGCAAAGACAGAGAAAGTGCGTAAAGCTTTGTTAGAGTTTTGGAATTGCTCATAACCTCACGTGTTTCTGAACTCCTTCTAACTTGCTTGCATGTTCACTAATTGCAAACTACTAATACCATAATGAATTTACCAACACAAATTACCTACTTCTTCAAAATTTCTAAAATTATTAGGATTTTACAAACGTGTCCAATGTGCCATTAAATAACTTACCATCACTATGATAAATTTTTCGATGTCATAATATATTTTCATACTAACAGTTTATCGCCAATGCGTGCATATGCAAAATTCGGTAGATGGGTAACGCGACGCATTGTCACATTGCGCATATTGACCAATTCAGAGGAGGAGAAAGGGCGAAAAGGAGAAAAGTTCCTAGAGGAAGACGAAGATCGGGGTTCATCGTCTCCATCGTCTAAAGAGGCACACATCAAGGTACAAGTACCGTTTATATGATCCGGACTTACAATAGCCCATGCGGAATTATTGAGCAAACTAAAATGGTGACGGCATCACCAACCCAGAGACCACCTGAACATGCATGATGCTTGGATCTTCATGGTGTTCTAGCAGGCCCGGTTGTATATACCGCATTTGGCGGATCCCCGATTCTGTTCGGGAGTGCATGGTTTGTAAGGTTGGCCTCTTATGACTCTCCCGCACCCGGCCGGATTGTTCGGGTCGCCTGTGGCCCCGGTCACGCTAGAATAACCCACCAGAATGCGGCGCGTAATGTGCGGGGAATCGATCAGATACTCCAGCCCCAAGTCGTCCGCGATGAGGCATCTCCTGGTGAGGCCGCCGCGGCTGTGGTTGCATGGCAAGAAGGCGGCATCGGCGGCAGCGGCGCTGATTTTGCTTGAATGTGACGGTGAAGCCATGGAGGCCAAGAGGAGTACCACCACGAGCAGCGAGGAGAACGACAGAGAGAAACTCTTGTCGCCCATAGCTAGATGATCTTCCTTTCCGATGAAGATGATGGTCAGCATTTGCCAGGCCCTCATCATGTCTTAGGACCTGTTTATGTATACGAGCAAGAGAGACATGCAAGTTGATGAGAGTTAGTAAGAGTGGTATGGTCATCGCCCCTCTTGCTCCGTTATTGCAATTTGTCCTCCTATGGTGAAAGTGACTTCCGCTAACACGACATTTTCATAAGATGTCCAATAAATATGTGATGAAATAGAAATTAATATTTTCTTTGCAGAACAATCGAAGGATTATTTGTATTCTTTTGAAACAAAGCACACGGACTGAAAAATGACTGTTTCTAAAGGTGCGAGGACCACAAGATAGTTTTTTTCTCGTGAACATGCACCAACCAGACGCCACGTGATGACTCGTGAGGGTCGACCTACCATATCCCGTCCACATCTGGATGGACGATCGAAGTTTTCCATCGAAATTTTGTCGGTGATAAGACGGGAGTCTAAATAGAACGAAATACAGTAGAAGGAATTACAAAAAAAAAATTGAATCGAGGGTGATACATGAGGACAATTTTGTAATTTCCCCTAATCGAAAAAAGAAGAAGAAGAAGAGTTCCCAAGCCCTTGTTTGATTTATGACTTTGGTTCGTTCGGGAACTATGCTAAGGCTTAATTAGAGTTTTGGAATTTGCTCAAAAGCTCACGTGTTTCTCAGCTCCTTCGAACTTTGCTTGCATGTATCACTCGAGGTGAGATCTTCCTCAATTTGTTCCCTATTTGCAAAACGAGCCCAAGATATCCTTGGTGCTTCCATGTCCATTGTAGTCGATGCATTTGCACATGTTGCTTCACTAAATCTTACACAAAACAAGAGCTTTCCGTGATCAGGGCTTGCCTTAATTATGTGTTGGTCGGTTTCTGAAGTTTGCCGGTAATTTTTCAATACTGTTGGTAAAAAAAATTTGACCGGCCACTCGCTTGTTAGGGGAAAATTGTCAAAAAAAGTCATAAACCTTTTGCACTTTTGCCAATTGAGTCCTAAACTTTTTAATTTTGCCATTTGAGTCGTAAACATTTTCACGTTGTGCCAATTGTATCCATCCGGCCAATTTTGACTGGCCACTTGCTTGTTAGGGGAAAATTGTCTAAAAAAGTCATAAATCTATTGCACTTTTGCCAATTCAGTCATAAACCTTTTTATTTTGCCAATTGAGTTCTAAACATTTTCATGTTTTGCCAATTGAGTGCATTCAGCCAATTTTGGCTGGAAACTGATGACGTGGACGTCGGCCATCCTAAGTGGCACGATCGGCGCTGACGTGGACATTTTTCAATTAATATTTTAATAATTTTTTATTTTATTTTCTTTTGTTTGTTTTCTTTTACACCTCTGGCCAGCGAGGGCCGCGAGCCCCTTGCATGTGGCCAGCGAGAGCGTCGCAGCCCTCACCCCCGCCCTCGCCTGTGGCCGGCGACCTCATCGGCTAGAGGTGTAAAAAAAAACAAACAAAAGAAAAGAAAAGAAAAGAAAGGAAAAGAAAAGAAAATATAAAAAAATAATAAATTTTTTGAAAAATATTAAAATATTATTAAAAATGTCCATGTCAACATCGACCGGGTCACGTTGGACGGTCGGCGTCTACATCATCAATTTCCGACCAAAATTAATCTGATGGATTCAATTGGCAAAACGTGAAAATGTTTATGACTCAATTGGTAAAATTAAAAAGGTTTATGACTAAATTGGCAAAAATGCAATAAGTTTATGACTTTTTGAACAGTTTTCCCCACTTGTTAGAGAACTTGTAATTGAGTTACCAACATTATTAGAATTTATCAATGTAGAAACGATTTAATAAATTACCATATCCTCTGAAACTTTACAAGTATTATTTGTGAGATTTTGATGGATTATTGTCAACTGTTCTAAAAGTTTAAGTTGACTCTCCCTCATGCTTGGTCTGATTTTTTGTCTAGAATCAAATGTGGTAATATGTAATTTGGGAGACAAATAGGGGCATGGAAAGATTTAAACTCACAACCTCCTACTTTGATACCACGTGAGATTTGGTGGCTATAAACAATTTATTATTTCGAACACATTATTAATAATTTATTTACATTCCACTAAATTGGTCGCTAATCAACTCTTGTGAAAGTTTATAACCCTGATTAGCAAAATAGTAGCCCTATAAAGAATTTACCAGCCTTCCAATTAATTACTAAGTTTCTAACTCCTTTCAAATTTTGAAAGCGTGAACTCGTAAAGTACTAATACTGTAATGAATTTACCAACATAAATTACCTACTTCTTCAAAATCACTAAAATTATTAGGGTTTTACAAACAGCCAATATGCCACAGGTAACTTAGGGCGCGGATAATAAAATTTCTCTTCCCCGGCCATATTTCTGGCTAGAAAAATCTATTTCTATTCCTCGGATGATTTTTTGAGCAAAAAGTAGCGTTTGATAATGACACAAAGTTTCTGTTCCCAGAATAAAAATTCTTTTGATATGTTATTCTCAAATTTTTGTTCTTGGTAGTCGGCGACAGGCGGAGGCGGACGGTCGGCGGACGACTGACAAGCGGCGGTGGTGGCAGACGGCTGACAAGCAGGCGGTGGCGGACGACTGGCAAGCGGTGGCGGACGGTCAGTGAGCGGGGGACAGCGGACGGCCAGCGGGGGATGGCCGGTGGCAAGTGGCGGGTGGGCGATAAGGACGAGCAATAAAAGAGTTGTTATTTCTGTTTCAGAAATAGAAAAGTAAAAAATTTTAACTTCTCATTTATGTTCCAAACCTAGTTTTTGGCTACAAATTTATCCCGAAAATAGAAAAATGAAATTATTTTACCAAACGGATTTCTGTTCCTAACCTATTCCCGAAAAGAAAAATATAGAAAAATAGAGAAATAGAATGATTATCATTCGTGCCCTTATCATCACTATAATAAAAATATTGGTCTACCAATTATGAATTTTCTTTCTCAGATTTTCCCTTTACTGAACCTTAGAGTCGTCCGAAACTCATCCACAACACTAGCTAGCTCCACACAACAACTAAAGAGTCGAATCCTGATATAACTCTATTCTTGCATGGAAGTCCTCCATCCTCATTTTCTACTCCATGAGACGGTAAATGTCATATCGGAGCATCCGAGCTACGTCAATGCGATATGAGAAGGAATAGGACCGTCGACGTTGCCATTGCTCGTGGCAGATTACCATAGGATGGTTTGAGGCGAGAGAGATGGGTGATCGCTAGGCCTCGACATGGAGCAGTACCGCCGATGCGTGCAGATGCAAAAATCGATAGATAGCATAACACGACGCAACGTTTTCGCATTGTGCATATCGACTAATTCAGAGGAGGAGAAAGGGCGAAAAGAGAAAAGTTCCAGGAGGAAGACGAAGATTGGGGTTCATCGTCTCCATCGTCTAAAGAGGCACA